CCTATAGGGTTGTCAGGATTCCGCGAAGAGTTCAAAAAGGGTCTTTGATACCCAAAGCCCTCAGTCATGCGTTCATATACCCTAAACCCCAAAACAGGCTGGCTAAACGGGGTTCAGGCTTTACAGGGCTTAAACCCCAAATCATAAACCCTAAACCCTAGGGCTTAAGAGCCAGGGAAATTTGGGGGTTTGGGAGGCAGATTGTGGGAGTGTCGCAGTTGTCTGCGCAGGTCCCCGCCCCCCGTCCTGTCAGTCGACAAGTCTAGCTGCACCCCAGAACGCGCGATCTGCTCTAAGGACCATAGGTGCCATCACATATTCTTCACTCGTCTCACCTAAACCCTAAACTCTAAACCCTCAACCCTCTTATAGAGGGGACCCTATGACAGAGGAGGACAAGATTCAGCTGCCTAGGAAGACAATCGACATGTCCCCGGGCGAGCGGGGCTGCTGTGCTTCGCATCTGATGCTCAATCTGCAACTGAAGGTTGGATTGGACTTTGAGAGCAGCGTAAGAGATGAGTATGTGCAAGCAAGTTGCATTCTTGTTATCGTCAGAATATATACAAGTATTCAAGCTCTGTGCATGTACAGGTATGCTTCTGTCGATTTCTCTGTGTAAGCATGTGCTCACACCACACGTGCGCCTTGCATGTTTAGATAGGCCTGGAGACGCGACAAGTCAGGCCCTTCCCCGAACAGCAACTAACAGTCTTGTCAAAGACTAAAAAAGCGGTTAGGGTTGACAGTCTCACAGGCCTGGATGCAAAAAGAGCGTTTAGGTTTTAGGGAGATTAGGGTTTAGCAGTAAAGGGACCTAGTATGCCCCTATTCAACCGCTACCATTGCAATGGAGGCAACAGACAGCCTCAAAGTCCGAAAGCCCAATGAGACCCTGTGTCTCATTATACTCAAAATGGACCTGGTGTGTGTAAGGATTTTCTAGGGAACTGGGGCCTCAGTGTAAACCCTAAATTGGGAAGTATATACTATACCCTAAACCCTAAATTTGGGAAGTATATACGGTGTGGCCTTGGGTTTCAGGATTGGATGGTGTCGGGCTTTGGGGGTTTGAGACTCTTCCTGGCTCCCCGGCCAGACACCTTCTTAGGATGCAGGCCTTCTGTCGTTGTTTATTTTTCATTTTTGTTTTGTTTGGTTTATTTGGTTTATTTGGTTTGTTTGGTGTGTTTGGTTTATTTGGTTTGTTTGGTTTGTTTGGTTTGTTTGTTATGTTTGGTGTGTTTGGTTTATTTGGTTTGATTGCTTTTGTTGTTTTGTTAGTTGTGTTTGTTGCGTTTGTTTTATTTGCTTGTTTGCTGGTGTGTGTGTGTGTTTTGTTTGTTTTGGTTGTTTTGGTTGTTTTGTTTGTTTTGTTTGTTTTGTTTGTTTTGTTTGTTTTGTTTGCTTTGTTTGCTTTGTTTGCTTATGTGCTTGCTTGCTTGATTGTTTGCGTGTTTGCTTGTTTGCTTGCTTGTCTGCTTGTTTGTTTGTGTGCTTGTTGTATGCGTGTGCGTGTGGGTGTGTGTGTGTGGGTGTGTGTGTGTGTGTGTGTGTGTGTGCGTGTGTCTGTGTGTGTGTGTGTGTGTGCGTGTGTGTGTGTGGGTGTGCGTGTGTGTGGTGTGTGTGTGTGTGTGTGTGTGTGTGTGTGTGTGTGTGTGTGTGTGTGTGTGTGTGCGTGCGTGCGTGTGTGGTGTGTGTGTGTGTATGCGGGATGTTCGCCTTTATGCTAACATAACAGTCCTCAATAGGGATTATAGTACCCCTATCTTTACCCCCTTTCAAGGACGGCTAGCACAAGGAAAAAACAGCTCAAAGTGTTGTTTATGGAACCCTAACCCTAAACCCTAAACCCCAAACCCCAACCCTAAACCCTAAACCCTAAACCCTAAACCCTAGAAGGTCCCCTACCTTAAGCCAAGGGCGGCCTGGAGGAAATGCGCGAAGAGCGGCAAGCCGTTGCTGGTGCTCGAGGCCGAAGTGGCATGGAGCCCAAACGGCGTAGGGTTTTAGGGTTTAGGATTTAGGTTTAGGGTTTAGGGTTTGGGGTTTGGGGTTTGGGGTTTGGGTTTAGGGTTTGGGGTTTGGGGTTTAGGGTTTGGGGTGTTTGTGTTCAGGTTGCCCAAGAATGCCATAGTTTAAGGGGGTTGTTGTAGAATGGTAGAACATCTCATAAGGCCTTGACTAGCGACAGAAAGGATCGTTTTCGTCGTAAGTTGAGAATTGCAGGAAAAGGTCAGGTTGGCCAAGAAAAGCCTTTATGAGTCGGATTATAAACAAATGATGTTCAAGAATAGACAACGGGATGAAGCAAAAAAGAAATAAAAGCAGGTGGCCCCCCAAAACACGTTACAACCCCTCAGCCCCTTACAAACCGCAAGCCCTCGCCCGGGGATGCAGTCTGTGAGCCAAGCAAGCGTCCGATTCATGTTATCCTCTCCCATTCGTCGCTGCCGACCCCCATACCAGGACGGGCTGTTATACCCTATAAGCCCTTAAAAAGGCCCTTTATAGGTTTCATTATGGGGATTATGGGGCCTAATAGCCCATCCTGGCCCTATATTGTAAGTTTTTGTCCCCCCAGGATCAGAAAAATCTGCTGCGCGCAAACGGCCAAATGCACTGTTCGGACTTGGCCTGGGGGGTGGTTTGGGATAGCATAGAAGTTCTACCGGGACCCCATGCAAACCCTGCATAAACCTCGAAAGTTCATCTTTACCGGTTCCGAGATTCCCCCCCCCCCCCTCACCACCCCCCAGTCGCCCCCTAGACCCTTAGGGTTCAGGGTTTAGACTCTAACCGAAAAACTGCCGTGAGGATGACGCCGTGATTCTGCCCAGCTTTACAGCTACGCTGTCGCAGGCAGGGGCAAGTCATGTGCGGGAATAGGGTTTAGGGTTTAGGGTTTAGGGTTTAGGGTTTAGGGTTTAGGGGTTGGGCAGCCTTAAGAACCCCGAAAGCCCTGTGTATCTGGAGTTCCGGCCCTTCAGGCACGGGAAGCCCTAAACCAAGAATTGTCTCTAGATTTGCCGATCCGGCCGGGGCTTGGGTGTTTACGTCTTTGTGGTTTTGGAGTTTTGGAGTTGATTGTCTGTGTCTAGATATTCCGCTTATCAGATCCCCAAACCCCAAGTCCTAAACCCTAAAACCCTAAAACCCTAAACCCATGTTAAAACAGGTTGGACAGGCAGTTGGAGTCGGTTGTGTGTCGGCTGTTCGTGGGGGGCATACGGAAGTCGGGCTTCAGAAGTTTTGGGGCATTGACAGCTCTTGGGGGTTTAGGGTTTGCTTGGAGGTTCATGGTACTTATAACCCAATTCTAACTGTACCTAAAACCTGCTTATAAGCCCCTTAAGTGCCCTATTCTGGTTGTATTTTGCTTACAGGTACAGTAATAATTGCGTTAAATCAAGTGCCATGAACCTCGAAGTAGATTTGGGCGCCATGCGGAGAAAGGGAGAGGTCTAACCTGCGCTCCGCTCAGGCATTGAAGGAGCTTCCAAAGGACACCGGCGCGTTGTGGCTCACCAGCAAGGCGGATTGCAGCGAAGCCACTGTTTTCTGGGTTTAGGGTTTAGGGTTTAGGGTTTAGGGTTTAGGGTTTAGGGTTTAGGGTTTAGGGTTTAGGGATGTTCCCCCTTATACCAACAGCTCCTTAGTAGGGATTATAAGAGGGGGGTACTCTAATCCCTATTAAGGACTGTCAGTATAAGGGGGAAACATCCCGATGCTATTTGCTCAAACCCCCCCCCAAAAAAAAAAAAAAGAAAAAAAAAAAGAACAGTATATTCTTACCCATAGGGGTAAGAAGGGGATTGTTATCTTTCATGTCTAGGGGGGTTCTTAAGCAAACAGTATGAAAGGGTTTCTGGTGCCTTGAACAGCAGCTGCAGAGGAGTGAGCAAAGTCACCCCCAGCATCCGCACCTGGATCATACCCTTGACATGCGTGGCAAATGTACAGGAAGGGGCCCCCTAGATATAAGTGGAGTTATGGGTACGATATATTGGGTTATAAGGATCCATAAGTCTCTTAACTGTGGTTAGTGGTTAGTGTAGTAAGGAGGCCCCTCCTTGTAGCGCCATATGTAGAGCTTTGAAGCTGAAACCTCTGGTGGTGGGTCTTGAGAGGACCGCGGCACGCGCAAGCGTGCAGGCGAAGCTTTAATGCAGCTTTCCTGCAAGAGAGCTGAAGGGAGTTAAACTACAATTTGCTTAAGAGCCCCCCCCCAAAAAAAAAAAAATCAAGAGTAACAATCCCCTTATTACCCTTAAGCAAACAGTAGTAAAGGGTCAGATGTGGATAGGGCTCGCAGAGCTCGAGGGCCCTATTCGCTCGCACTATGGCGATTGCTCCCTTGAGCACCAAGACGTTGAAGCTAGTCTAGCAGCCGTGTGCTTCCTTAGTAGTCAAGCAAGCAACCTCCGCCCACCATAGGACTCCAATAAGGTACCCCTAATTTCGGAAAGTCTCATATAGTCCCAAAGGTTACGCAGCCTATGCTTCCCGAGCTTTCGGCACCAAGCGTAGTCTAGGTTGAATCTTGGTGGTTTGCATGATTTTTGTGTTGGCGTTGGAGGCCATAGACGATGGTCACTCAATTTTCGATCGTCTCACGCCTTCAAACCAGAGACTGTTACACCCTAAACCTTAAGCATGTCATACTTGTGCTTCAACAGCTCGCTTTGCAGGACTGTCAGCGACACAGCGACCCTAGGAGTATCTCCAGGGCTCCAGGGTTGCGCAGGATTAAAACGGGTGCCATCTCAGGGTCCCTTACACAACCGGCCGCTGAGTTTGAGCTCAGGCACTCTTAGCCTCAGTCCTGGGAGAACACAGCGCCACAAATCCCAAAGCAGCTGCGGTTAAGGTTTAGGGTTTAGGGTTTGGGGTACCCTGCATTTTTGCAGCAGCACAAGGACTTTATTCAGAGCTCACAGCCTTTCGAAAGTGATGGCGCCGCCCCCACAAGTGGCACCATCTTCGTCAATGCCTCGCAGGCGTGACAGGAGGACGACCAGCGCAGCCACTCGGAAAGGATGGATCCGGCAGGTCACACATCAGCACATTTCGAGTTCCCTTCTGTCGCCCGCGACACCGGTGCCCCTTCATGACCCTCCACAAGTCCTTCTGCGCCAGCCTTCCATGAACTTCTGCGTGTACAGCGAGCCGAACAGGCTCGAGGTTTGTGTCGGGGAGATGGTGGGCTTGCGCCCCTTATCTCACCTTGAAGGCTGCATCTTTGCCGCTGCCCCAAGGTTTCCGCGCGGAGTGGCGCTGGACATGCAGTCCGGCTTGGTGTATGGTCGGCCCGAGGAACTCACTTTAGGAGAAGTGACCTACTTCGTCACGGCCTGCGATCCGGGGCGATTCCCTCTGACAGTGATACATGTTGCTGGGTTGTGCTTTGGGATTGTTCTTAATATCCCCTCTTTCCTTCTAAGGGAACCTATTCATAAATAATTTTCAAAGGGTTTAAAGCACAGCTCAGGTTGCCATGATCAAGCTCACGGTCAGCCTCTCTGTCAAGGTATCACAGTGAGACCTGTGGATTGCACCCTCCAGGGCCTTTTTTTGCATGGATGATTTTGGGCGTTCTCGCCGGATGCTAGCGCACCAGAGGAGGAGGGCTTTCAGACAGGAAGCGCAGCACTGTGTGATTCAGTCGGCTGGGGCACATGATTGACACGCACACAGACAGATAGACACAGACAGACAGACAGGCAGGCAGGCAGGCAGACAGACAGACAGACAGACAGGCACACACGCACGCACGTGCGCACACACCCACACACACACACAGAGACACACAGACACACAGACACACAGACACACAGACACACAGACACACAGAGATACACGCAGAGATACACACAGAGACACACACACACACCCGCGGACACATACACACACACAGAGACACACAGAGATACACACAGAGACACACACACACACAGAGACACACAGACACACAGACACACAGAGATACACGCAGAGATACACACAGAGACACACACACACACACACCCGCGGACACATACACACACACACACACACAGAGAGACACACAGAGATACACACAGAGACACACACACACACACACAGAGACACACAGACACACACAGAGACACACACACACACACACACTCACACACTCACAGAGACACAGGCACATACGCAGACGCAGGCAGACGCACACACACACACACAGAGACACAGACACAGACATAGAAACAATAAAGTAAGTTCAACCTGGAGTCACACAGATGCGCTCGAGCTCTCCTGCTCTCCGCTAGGTCCTTGTGCCACTCGCCCCGCGGATAACAGCTATACTCTCGAGGTTGCGGCCGCTTGAAATCCTAACGCCACAGGCCTTGGACAAAGCCGCCAGGGCCTGTCTTTTGCAGACCGCCCCTTGTTCTGCCCTGTCCTGGCGGTTAGGAGTGACATGTGGGGGGGAGGGGAGGTTATTTCTCTGAATTCTGGGCCTGTAAATATAAACATCCGTACGATAGTGTTAGACCCAGAAGGGACCAGAATCCAGAAGCCCCGCCCCATGTGTGGTTTCTGCATGTTTCTGTGGATTCGCGGTTTCGCAAGACCTCACTTGGAGGTTCATGGTACTTACTAACCCAATTAGAACTGTGCCTATAGCCCAACGACAACCATCTATAGGGGCTTTATAAGAGGGGTTATAAGTACAGTTATTCTAGTGTTATAAGTACCCTAAACCCCAATCCTAAACCCTGAACCCTAATTTGGGTTACAAGTACCATGAACCTCCAAGCATCACGCATCTTTCAGGAGTTCTTCCGGCGGCTTCTGACTCGGTAAACGGGCACCGCCCCTTTTCATCGCACTACCACTATTTGCTTAAGAACCCCCCCCCCCCCCCAGAAAACCAAAGAAGAACATCCTTCCTTATAAGGGCAAAATAGGGAGTATTGTTTCAGTTTGTTTTTTTTTTGGGGGGGGGTCTTAAGCAAATATAAGACACATGGGGCTCTGCGCTATTGAATGGCGCATGGAGCCGCCCAAGCACAGAGGACCTGGGCTTGAGAGAGGCTGATTCAAACAGTTTAGGGTTTGGGGTTAGGGGGTTTAGGGGGTTTAGGGGGTTTAGGGGTTTAGGGTTTAGGGTTTAAAACGGTTTAGGGGCTGGGCTCCTACGAGTTGATGAAGAGCATCCCCAAATATGACAACGATTCTTTTTCTTGTTGTCAGGGCAACATGAGGAGTATCATCTTCCACTTTCTGGGGGGGGGGGGGGGGGCTTCTTAACTTGGCAGCCCGGTGGTACCCTGTACCCTTTTTTTTGGTCTTTGGTTCCCTTATAAAAACCCAACCCAAAAAAGGAGGCCCTTATCGTAGTATGGTTACTGGGCTACCATGTTAAGCAAATGGTAGCTCAGGGCTTACTTGAAGGTTCATGGTACTTAGTGATTAATTATGAGTGTACTTGTAACTGCACCTATAGCCGTATTAGGGCAGTTAGGGGGCTTAGAAGTACAGTTATAAGTACAGTTATGATTGGTTAGTAAGTACCACGAACCTCCAAGTAGCCCTAAACCCTAAACCCTAAACCCTAAACCCTAAACCCTAAACCCTAAACCCTAAACCTCCAAGCATCGTTACCTAACTTGTGCCTTGCCGTGGACATACTTTCCACGGCAAGCCAGGAGCTGCCCAGGCCCTCAAAAATTGTATCGCTAGGGTTTAGGGTTTAGGGTTTAGGGTTTAGGGTTTAGAGTTTAGGGTTTCCGGTTTAGGGTTTAGGGTTTAGGGTTTACGTAGGGTTTAGGGTTTAGGGTTTTTAGCTCGGGTATGCCAGGTGCTCGGAAGACCATGGAAGACCCTCAGCCCTATCTTGCCGAAGTCATAGGGTTCGTAAGGGAGGGGGGCTCAAGGGGGGGTAGGTACTTAGGGAGCCTTAGGGAAGCTCAGGGTAATTGGGAACCTTGGGTTACATACCCCACCCATGAACCCCCTCCCTTCAGAACTCAAGAAACCCTAAACCCTAAACCCTAAACCCTAAACCCTAAACCCTAAACCCTAAACCCTAAACCCTAAACCCTAAACCCTGAGTCGAGGTTGGGAAAGGAGTAGAGGGTCGGCTGTTTCCATGTCTTGCACCGGCAGCCGAGCTCGTCAGATCTCCGACCTTCGCTACAAAAGGATCCGCGACGTTTAGGGTTTAGGGTTTGGGGTTTGGGGTTTGGGGTTTAGGGTGTAGGGTGTAGGGTGTAGGGTGTAGACTTACTTCACTTTTAGTTGAACTTTAAGCTTTTTGGTTTTCCTCACTTACCGATTTCGCACAAGAACCCCACACAAGAACCCCAAACCCAAGAATTTACTGGCTCAAACTTGTCTTTATGGGTTGACTCCACAACCTCCATAGCCTCATATGCTCTGAACTACACTGAAAGCACCCTAGGGTATTGGGTTCCAGACTAAAGTGTAGCAATCTACCTACTCCGGAAAATGGCTTGGAACATGGGTGACAGAACTTTGCGGAGCACAAAAGGCCCCACAGGCCTCGTCATCAAGGGCTCAGGACAGATCCTCAACAGCCAAACACCCCCTAAACCCTATGATTAAGGGAAGCCTCTAAGATCCAGACGAGCATGAGACCTGGACCCCAAGGGTTTAGGGTTTAGGAGTCTAGGGTTTACAGGGCACATGCCCGAACAAACCAAAACACCCCTGAGCCCCATGTGCTCAGCCCCGAAAATTCCAACCTCAAAGGCAGCCACATTACCTGTGGACGACCGTGGGGTACATCATCTGGCCGGCGGCGGCCAAAGCGTTCATGAGGATGGGCATCTTGCGCTTTGCCGGGGTTTGGGCTGATGATGTTGCCCACACAAGTCAATTAATTAGTGCCCATGACATGCCACGAGCGTACACACCCGCGCGCACGCACGTGCATGCGCACGCGCACGGCGTGTGCACACGCACACGCACACGCACACGCACAATGTGCACGCATACAATATCGGGCTGTTGGCAATCCCAGCGAATTAAACCCCATGTCCTGCGATCCCAAACGGTTTGCAACAGCGAATCAGTTTTGGAGGCAGAAACATTGTCAAAGTGCTCCCCCCCCATGCCCCTCTCATCAACGCCTTGCTTCATCAAGACCCCGTTTACGCCTAAATCAGGGCCCATTATTCCTCAAACTTGAAGTCTGCTGGGTTTAGGGTTTAGAGTTTAGGGTTTAGGGTTCTGCAAGCCTGCTGCAAAAGGGTTTAGGGCTGCAAGTGGCTCCCAGCCTTGACTTAAGACCTTGCCAGCCTCCGCGCTGGCTGGAGGCTGCTCCCCATGGACATGCCAGTGGACAACTTCATGGCCTGGCACGTGAAGGTGGAAGGGGCCTGTTTAGGGTTTAGGGTTTAGGGTTTAGGGTTTAGGGTTTAGGGTTTAGGGTTTAGGGTTTAGGGTTTAGGGTTTAGGGTTTAGGGAGGGCCTGTATAAGGTTCAGGAATGAGGGTGTGTAAGGCTAAGGGAGTTCCTAAACCATAAAAGAAGGGATGGCCAAGGGAATCCCCTAAACCCTAAACAGGAGGATCTGTTGGGCAGGCTGGGTGCTTAGTCTAGTGTAGGGCACAAGGGTTCCTTTCTGTATAGGGACCCTACAGGACCGAGACCCCCATACTTGCAGATTCGTGGCTTACGGGGGCTAGTTTTCTTTCCATGTCGCAAATGTCCTCAGCCCCTAAACCAAAGTGCTTCAGGAGCATCCGCACGGACACAAGGGTTCCTTTGGTGTGTCGATTGGTCAGCAAAAAGCAAGAGTTACAGGAGCTTTGCATTGCATTTAGGGTTTAGGGTTTAGGGTTTAGGGTTTAGGGTTTAGGGTTTAGGGTTTAGGGTTTAGGGTTTAGGGTTTAGGGTTTAGGGTTTAGGGTTTAGGGTTTAGGGTTTAGGGTTTAGGGTTTAGGGTTTAGGTGTAGGAATCCTGGTGCAGAAAGAAATGGGTTGAGGGGCAGGGCTTGGAGGTGGTCCCTGACCTCCTTTATAGGGTTCTGATGTATGGGCCCTTTGCTTGTACAGGGTTTAGGGTTTAGGGTTTAGGGTTTAGGGTTTAGGGTTTAGGGTTTAGGGTTTAGGGTTTAGGGTTTAGGGTTTAGGGTTTAGGGTTTAGGGTTTAGCTGGATGGATGGATGCTGCCCTGGCCTCAGTTCCAGTCTTAAAAAAGGGTTTAGGGCCCATGCGAAGGGACCATGTAACTACCTTAAGACTGGAAAGAAGGGCCCAAACTCTGAGCCCTAAGCCGCCTGCGCCCTCTAAACCCCCTCAACCCTAAAACCCTAAAACCCTAAACCCTAAACGCTAAACCCTAAACCCTAAACCCTAGCCCAAAACCCTGAACCCTAAACCCCCTCAACCCTAAAATTCCCAAGCTCAAGGGACTCTACCTCGGACCCCGAAGGTTGTACCCTTGGCTTGGGGATGCTTTGTTTACCCTAAACCCTAAACCCTGTTTCAGATCCTCTAAGGGAATGTAAGGGCCATGTCAGGGGTATATCTGGTACAACCTTT